TATTTGTGTGGGAGGGGTTTTCAGTCCAGGGAACAGTGGGTCAGCAGTGAGGGACGTCAGTGGGCAAATACACACACTCCTCTGCCCATGGCTCTGTTGCATGTGTGTGCGTGTGTGCGCACACACACACCTGCCCATGGCTCTTGCACATGCAGCCTACCCATGGCTCTGTTGCATATACTTTCTAGGGTCCGAAGGGACCTGAGCAGATCTAGTCCGACCCCTGCCATGGCAGGAAATAGTACTGGGGTCAAACGATATGCGGGCTCACACACCTGCCCATAGCTCTGTTGCACACACACATGCCTCTACTCATGGCCCTGTTGCACACATGCACCCCCACCCCCACGGCTCTGTTGCATGCCTGGCCTGGGTCCCAGGGTCCCATTCACTCCTGCCCCACTCCCTCACTGTGGGGATCTTGATCTGCCCCTTCTCCTCCACAAACTTACCAGCTTGGTGCTCTCCCACATGTGCCAGAAGAAAAAATCCCAAGATCTGATCTCTCTGTCAGGAGATCATGAGTCGGAGTTAATTCGACTTGGAAATCAGGAGTCTCCTGATTTTTTTCATGGGAGTTGGTATTACTGCACCCTCTGCCCACAACTGTGCCCTGGTCAGGCTTTTTCCGGGGCTGCTCAGGCATGTTCAGATGGTGCCTGAAGCATCGTTCCGTCTTTCCATTGTGTTCAGCCTGCATCTTCCTCACTTAGGTCCCCGCTACACATTACATGTATTACACAATTAACTGGTCAGTCACGCAATACATTTAGACTGGCCACATGTGCAAAGTAAGACTGGCTGCACATACATAGTAATAAAAATGACTATCCAGCTATGAAAAGCACCAACCAGCTATAAACTTAGTGGTTGAAAATCTGTGACAACTTTAGAGCCAGTTTCTATCCAGCTTGTACTTGAACATGTAGCAGAGCCCTTATACACCCCTCAAACTAACACCCCACAAAGCCTCCAGCACTGCTTCCCCTCCCTCTCTCCTGTTGTATTTAAATTTATCCCCTATAACTTTTAGACTGGGGATTAGTTAGCTATTAGTCTGAAGTCAAATAGAAGGCAGGGGAGCTTTGTATCATATTGACTAACCAAAGTACAAATAGATATATAGAAAGAAATATATAGCACAAGCTTTTCTGAACAGAACCTCACTTCATCAGATGCAGATACAGAAAGGAGGGGAGGGGGAAGCAGTGCACACACATGTACCTAAATATCTACATGAATTTGGAATAGTTAATGAACCAGAAAAGTATTAAACCAGAAACAGTTCTGGGGCCTAGTGGAAAACCAGCCCACTTAAACAGAGATCACAAGACAGGTCAGAAACACCCCCAAACAAGTTATTTAAGTATATAATGGACAGCCTGAACTTGTTCCCTTATGCAAACCAGCTATATTAGGATAAGTGTAGAACAGCATCTGGTGCAGCTAGAATAGAAAACACGCGCAGAAAAAGCCCAAGGAGGGAAAAGGCACTGTTGAAGTAGTTGTGGCCAAGATGGTCCCAGAGATATGCAAAAAGCAAGATTTTTTGTGGGTGATATCTTTTATTGGCCCAACTGTGCGGTTAACATAGACATAGGCTTTCTTAGGCCTCTGAGACACAGCTGAGCTAAACAGCAGATGGAACAAAAGTTTGTTAAGTCGGGTTACGAGAGGGAATTGTTCCAGCAGCTGGCATGTGCCTGCATGGTAGGGTTGAAGAACTGGAGGTTTGGGCAGTTTGGAGGTGGGAATCATCTGACAGTTTATGATCGGTGGTTCTCAACCTTTTTAGATGCCAGGTGCCCCTCAGAAAATGCCAGCTCTGAGATTTGACTCATTTTTCCACTATGGAAAAATAATAGAGCAATTCTTTTGTTGCAAAGAACTCAGGAAGAGCACAACAGAGCAGAATGGTTCGAATGCTCCCAGGCACCTATACATGTGCAGCAAGATTGCTCTAATGTGTTGTAATTACAACGTGTCAGAGCAGACTCCATTCATGGGGTCTGCTGCAGCATGGTTATTACCACGCTCCAGCAGACTCCGGTGTCACATGCATCAGCATCCCCACGCTGAAAAATGGTGGCGGGGGTGCTTTAACCAACACTTGTTCAATAAGCTTTAGTTAAAGTGCCCCCGCCTCCGTTTTTCAGCGCGGGATGCTAATACACATGACACTCTTGGCACTTTAATTACAGCAGCTCTCAGAGCTTCTCTAATTAAAGTGTGCCCACCCCCACCCCAGAGCACATGTATAAACACCCTTGGATTCTTATTTGATATCTCTGAGTTTAGCTGGTAATCATACGTAGATGTTTGCACACCTAACAGTGCCAATATTGCACAGTACCCCATGGCACCATTAAAATGATCTCATGGCACATTAAGGTGCCACAATGCCCTGGTTAAGAATAACCCATTTAAATGCTTTGCTGAAACAAATCCCTGGTGGTGTGGGGAAAGGATTCGCTGTTACCAGATTCCCCTCAGCCAACATCTATTACATCCAGGTCTCTACTTCCTACTCTGCTCAGTTATTCAACCCTCTGTGGAGCAGGATAGAAAGGAAACATGATTTACTAGGAACCTCATTGACAAAAAGGCCCCAACTCATTTGAAAAAAATTGTTGTAAAATATTTAGTCCCTAAATTTAGTCGCCAGAACATACGCCATTGCTCTTTATGGGATGTCTCGTAGTACTGGCTAAATCCCATGTTATTAAGGATTATTCTTCAACTATATACAGAAATACAATCAAACAGGGGAGAAGTCAGTTACTGAAATGCATAGACTTTCTGAGGATTTTCTGATACATCCCACAGTGGCTTACGGTCCAGGTGCAATGCGAAGAAGTGCTGCACCACACCTGCTGGCTTTTTCCCCTGGTCACTTTTGTGCAGTGGGTCAGTGGATTGAGAGGTAGGAGGGGCTCAAAAAGCAATTCTTGGGTTTTTTTGTGATTCAACTAGAATGCCATCTTCAAAGTCATCTTTCACTTGGCCTTGTGTTATAAACACATGCTCTCTTATCACATGCAACAGTCAGGCATGAACCTTTACACAGATGACTTCCTCCTTGATCTGGTTGATAACTGAGGACATAGCTGGATACATCTTGCATACAGCTGGAAGCAGAAAAGAAACTGTTATCTGCCTAATCCGGACATCAGAAACAGTGCAGAGAAGGCTTCTAATTCCTTACAGATCCCAACAAAGATTTCATATACACCTAAAAGATCCCCTCCTCCATGCCTGACCCCAGGCTGTGACCCAGAAAACTGAGTGCTAAACAGACAGGAGCAATGGGGGAAAGTGAAAGGAAATGGAGCAAGATTTTTAAAAGGAGCCTCAGTGCAGTTGAGGCACCAATAGCTTCTACCCATGGCAGGGTGGCTTCAGGCAATGGGGCTGTAAACAGGGCACAAAGTTACACACAGAACATGCTACACAGGAACAAAAGGAGCATTTCCAAGTCAGGAAGTGCCAGGATGCAAGGGGCCCGCTCCAAGTCTTGTGCATAGGCCTCCTGGTAGAGTCGTTGAGTGACACAGCCACATGCTATGTATTTACCGGGGTCTTGCTTCATTCTGGACACAAAACAGATCATGAGCAAGGCACAAAGCTGCCAAAGCAAGGAAGTGTGTTAAGGAAGTTGACTGGGCCTCTCTTTAACACAGGCTTTTGAATGTAATAGTAAGCATAGACTCATTTTCTTTTCATTCTGTACAGGTAGGTGACCTTCAATGCCAACTCTGAGAGTTTCATCACAAACTTCACGGCATTTAGCATGATCGCCCCAACTTCTGGAGTCATGGGATCACGGAAGAAAAAACAAACTTCTGACTTTAAGTCAGTGTCATGATCTGGGAGGGTGGGGGTATAGAGAGGCTGACTCCTTATGGCTTGAGATGTGTGGTACGGGGTTCCAGCGGTGTAACACGAGAAGGAGACTCGACCAAAATGTGCTACATATCAATGGGTTATTTTTGGGGGGGTATATTTTGTCCCTTTTTACAGTCCAGGAGCAGCACAGAGGAGTTTTACCCTCAGCCTGCCAATCATCTTTCCTCCTGTCACTGTAATGTAATAACTCTCTACTCTCATCAGTGCAGCTGTGTAAATGAACAGCTTCCACAGCTGCATTTCATTTCAATGACCATTTCCTCTTCTGAAACTCTCTTTTTATCACTAACAAAGTACAACGTGTTTGACTGGCAGGCAGGAATGAGCACTGCCACGTTATTGCCCAAAGTCGGAAGTGCTGCATCGGTACTGACAGCAGGAGTGACAGGTGCCTTGTTCTTGTTGCTGACATCAATGATGTTGCTCCCCATTTTAGACTGAAGTGGAGCAAAAAGAGAGAACAGTGATGAGGGCCGGCCTAGCGTCCTACATACTGGATTCGTGACAGTAAAAGGGCTTCCAGGCTTCAAACAAAACTAATCCCTATGATGAACTACAGCAACAAACTTCCCCTGGAAGTGGTGAATTCTCCACTGTTTGACTCCATATCAACCCCAGGTGCTGAAAGATCTCCCTTAGTTTGGCACGAGCAACGGGCCTGGGCACAAAAGTAACCAAAGGAAGCTTTCTGGCCAGTGCTGTGCAAGAAGAGGTCAGACTGCATGGCCTATCTGGCCTTAAAAGTCCGTGTGGACATGTGCAAGGCTAAGCTGCTGACCAAAGGCAACGGAACTGTTGTCACGTAGACCTGGCCTGTAACTTTTCGGTATGATGTAAATGCATCCCTTGCTATGGATGCATTGGATACAGCATTGATCCTTTCCAGACACCAAGATGGCTGGCTCAGGATCACTCCTACAATTGGCTTTGTTTGCTAAGCAGCCTGGCTCTTGTGCCAGTTTGAGGGAGAAGCCAGGACTCCTGTGAGCACACACGGACAGAGCTGGATGCTACAAGCTGGACCAGATGCCTATGCAAAGAGACATGCTTGAGGTCCCCAAGTTATGAATGCAGGAGATGCTCAATGGGATTCTCTGGCCTGGAGCATGTAGGGTGACAAATTAGGTCAACACAATGGTCCTTTCTGGCATTAATGGAGAGGTGGAGCGGGTCAGAAGAACTCCCCTCACCGTCACTGAGACCCGCATCTGAGACCACGGCCAGATCCTGACCTCAAATGCACTCAAGCAGTGCCCAGAGGCCAACAGAGCACAAGAAATGTCATCAGGGATGACGCAAGTGGATGAAGAGGCCAGGGCTCAGGCCCATGCTTGTGCTACACGTGGTTCAAGGCCTATGGGTACTGGCAAGATCAGCACCGTCTTTTCAGAGGACTCAGAATTTAATCCAACTAGCTACCAGGATGAAGTTGAACAGGTCAGCCAGTATTCAGCCTTGAAGAAGATTCACATTCAGCATTCAAGTGGATTTGCTTTGATTTTGTTTAATCCCTGTTGGAAGTGAAGTGAGCTCAACTGAAGAAAGTCACACAGGGGCTGAATACAGTTTAATGAATGCCCTTGCAATGCATGCCTTATTTAATTCAGATCAGGTTTCTTGCCTCCCTGCGTAGACCAGCCTGAAGAGGACTTGTGGATGGCAGAGCAGAACCAGGCGCTCAGGTTTGCAGGGCAGGGCAGGGCAGGGCCCTCCGAGCAGTCACTTTGCTCCAAGAACCTCGAACAGGCCCCTGCAACTGAGGCTGCAGGTCAGCAGAAGATACAGACGGCTCTGTAACTAGAAGCAATTTTTAGGCTTCTTTAAAAGCATCTGGGGTTTTTCAGGATTTGCTTTGCCACTCGCAGACCCCAGGAGCAAGCTAGCTGCCTTCCAGATTAAACACAGGGGCTGCACCTTGACCCAAATGGCATAGAGGTAGCTTAGCCGAGGGGCATCTCCTGGAGAATACCAGCTCTTACTTGGGCCATGCACCATGCTGCCAGCAGGTTGTACTTGCTTTCATTTTAGACCTGGGACGTCCTCCAGGGCAGCGTGCACGCTGTGGCCAGGTAGCTCTCCACCTCTCTTCTGAGGCTGGCTGTCTTGGGAAAGGGTTGAGGTGGAGGGCGGTGAAGGGAAAGAGTTTGAGAACTGGAACCTGGCACTGAG